AAAATGTCAAATCACTCCTGTAACAAGACTGTAGTTCTCTGCCTTCCAAAAATCAGGCTCCCTCTTAAGTAATGTTCTTATGGTTGAGAAAGACCAATGCATCTTCAATTTTCTAGGTTTGAAAACATGTATTCTCTGGAAGAAATAGCATGTTTGCATAAACTGCTTGGTATATAGCTGTACCAGAAATTGCAGCTTTAATAAGTATGCTACATGATAATTGTAGTCTGAATTTGGGGATACAGAAGGAAGACAGGCTATGTGGGTTAACAGTATCCACAAACTTTAATTCAGGCAGTCCTTGACTTATGACCACAATAGGGACTGTAAAATTTGTCATTAAGTGATGTTGTCATTAAGTGAGGCATCATGTGACTGTACCAAGTATTACTTTTTTTTGCCATGTTTGTTAAACAAATTGCTGCAGTTGTTAAGTCAATCATGACTGGGCTTGCAATTTTCCTTTGGTTGTTAAGTGAAACAGCAGGTACAGTATGGGTGGGGGGAGGAGTTTATCTAATTGTGATAGTAGTATGTTTTCCCTCAAACATTTGGTATGTGTTGATTTGTTTTTAGAGATCCTAGTATCTTCTGTTGCACAGAGTCCCCTTTACCAGGTTAGGCTGGTATGTCAAACATAAATCTACCTGGATCCATGATCTGTTAATGTTCAATTTATATTACAATACAGAAGCTCCCAGTTCTTCTTGGTTCATGGCACTGTGTTTCCATGAACTGTATAACAGTGAACCCTGGCTTTTCCTCAGCCAAATCAGCCAATCCTTTCACAGTGAACTTTTTGGGCTGAACTTCTACATTTTCTCCTCCTCCTTCGAAATCTTGTTATTTTTTCTCTTCTTCTTCCCCCACAACTCCTCATCCTTCCAATTCTTGCAGTTCTATTAAGTCTTTGTTTGAAAGCTCTCCCTCAGTGTAGGCTATCAAATGTTTCACATTCTCAGCTTCAACCTCTAAATCAAGGGATTTCATGAGTGTCAAAATGTTCTGATTTATTTCATCCAAATGTCTGTCATGGTCAAATCCTTCAAAATTATTTACAAGAACAGCAAAATGTTTTAAACAATTCTTCCAAATCACTTGCATGCATTTCAGTGACATCCTGCCATGTTGCTGCAATGTTTTTGATAAAATGGAGGATATTGTAGCCTTTCCAAAAGTCACACAATGTTACTGTCTCATTCTCCATTTCAGCTATGGCTTTGCCAAACATTGCATGTAAATGTTGTGACAGCTCCCTGGTCCACAGGCTGTAGGAGAGGGGTGGTGTTTTTGAGTAGCTAAACTACCTTTACATCTGGGTGGAGATTGTTGAGATGTGGGGGGTGTCCAGGTGCGTTGTTCAGGAGCAGGAGAATTTTAAAATGAATTCTGTTTTCCAAGCAATATTCCTTTACTTGAGGTATGAAACAATTCATATACCAATCCTTGAAGAGGACTTGTGTCATCCAAGCCTTCCAATTGGATTGATAATAAACGGGCAGTGAGTACTTGCGTATGTTTTTGAGTGCACAGGGGTTCTGTGTTTTGTGGATCAGAAATGGCTTCAGCTTGAATCTGGAGGCATTTCTACCCAACAGCAAGGTTACTCTGTCCTTGAATGCTTTATATACAGCATAGCTTTGGCTTCTTTGTGTACGTAGCTCCACTCTGGCTTTTTTTTTTTTCCAGAATAACCCAATATTGTCCACAATGAGTATCTGTTCAGGCAGATAGTTCCCTTCTGCTATGATTTCATCAAGTTCATCCAAGAAAAGTTGGGCAGCTTCTTTGTCAGAGCTTGTGGCTTCATCTGACATGTATATGTTGTGGCAATTAAAACTTTGCTGAAACCACATAAACCAGCCACAGCTGGCAATGAATGTTTCAGTGCATTCCTCACCTGCTCTTTCCTTCAATGTTGTGCAAATGCTATGTGCCTTAGCCTGAATGAGAAGGCGGCTAATCAGAATCCTGTTTTGTATTTGATATTCAATCCAAAGTATAAAGAGTTTTTGTTTCGTGGATATGTTTGGTGCCTTGTTATAACTGCGTTCTTTCCTGGTGATCCTTCAATCACCTCTCTGATCCTTTCCTTATCCTTCAGAATAGTGGAGATGGTGGAATGGGCCAGCCCTTCTTGTGCTTTAATATTCACCTTCTTCCCCTCGTCATGTACTTTGATGATCTTCATCTTCAAATCAAGATCGACAGTTTTCCTTTGCTTCTTGCATCCTTCTTTAGCTGAAGTGGAGGTCTTTCTCTTTCCCTTTGAAGGCATCGCCAGCTAAAATAAGAGCCAGTTGCAAAGTATGGGAGGGAGGGAGGGACGGAGAGAGAGATAACCCCCAAAATAGTTGTGTAACTGATTCAGAACAATTTATCTTCAGTGTTAGGGTGGGGGGAGGCAGTACTATAGTGCAAGAATGTGTTTCCTTGTCTGCTAAAAATTTCTTTTCTTGGACAAAAGTATGTGAATGGTCTCTGCTAGCAACAACATATTTTAAATTCATTTATTTACTATATTGAGTATTTGTTTATACACTCCATCTTTGTTCTCAACTGGTTCCCTGTCTGCTCTTCTTCTTGGCCACTTTTTTTCCTTAGTGTACAGCATGTGCAAGACTGAATCTGATTCTTGACAATTGGAGAGAGTGAACTGTGAAGGCCAGATGCTACATACAGTCCATTTATGAGGAAAAGCCAGGGTTCATAGGAAGGGATAAAAACTCATAAAAATAGATTGCAAAGTTGAAGTTCAGGAATTTAGAGAACAGATAGACAATAAATATTGTTTCACTAGTATTTTATCCACAGGTTGGGTCTCTGCCATCTGCATGATCCAGTCATTTTCTCTCACGCACAGGAATCATTGCCACACATGCAGACACAAGAGTGCACACTTAGAGAAAATATACCCCCCTCCCTCTGCGTGAACTAGTCATTTTCTTTCTCACACAGGAATCATTGCCACACATACTGACACATTGAGATGAGGCAAGGAGGGAGGGAGGAATCCCTACCCAAGCATTAGGAAGCAGATTAATTTTTTTTCTGGATTCAAATGTTTGAGGAAAACAGGATTTTTTACAGTACTATACAGTATTGCAGTAATGAAACTTGAAAAATGTTTTAATCCAACATATCCTGTCTTCATACTGTACGGTGCTGTACTGTAGAGATGAAGTTGGATATCTCACCTGCAACTTAAATGTAGAAACTTCCTGAACACGTACAAATGCATACTGAAGGCAGATATCACTGAACATACTATTACTGCATATAAGGGCATTCAGCCAAATGCAGGTTTGTTTTAGATATTGTACAGTAAGCTAGATCACTCTCAAAAGTCTTAAAAAGTTAAAATAAAATAAGAATAAAATAAAATAAAAATAAAATGCTTACCTTTAAAATGTTTCCTTTTGTACAGTATTTAGAAGTACCAATAGAAGAGAATATATGTAGCCCAGGGTTGAACTGTGGAGTCCTTGGTGCTCTCTGAGCTTGGTTGTTTGCTTGCAGACATTTCATTAACTACCTAAGTAACATGATCAGCGAGTGAGTGTGGGCTTTGCTCCCTGTTTATATACAGTAGCTTGCCCTGCTGTTTCTAATTTGCTGTTGTTTTCTCTACTGATGTACCAATAGAAGAGAATATATGTAGCCCAGGGTTGAACTGTGGAGTCCTTGGTGCTCTCTGAGCTTGGTTGTTTGCTTGCAGACATTTCATTAACTACCTAAGTAACATGATCAGCGAGTGAGTGTGGGCTTTGCTCCCTGTTTATATACAGTAGCTTGCCCTGCTGTTTCTAATTTGCTGTTGTTTTCTCTACTGATAAGGATATCCAGGAAGGGTAGTGTGTTGTTGTTTTCTTCTTCCCTTGTGAATTTTATTCCTTTGAAGACAACAGCAAATTAGAAATGTTAAATCTATCAAAAAACAACCCACACTAACCAAGTGCTCCATTACCAAAGTAACAGCCCAACCTCTACTGATAAGGATATCCAGGAAGGGTAGTGTGTTGTTGTTTTCTTCTTCCCTTGTGAATTTTATTCCTTTGAAGACAACAGCAAATTAGAAATGTTAAATCTATCAAAAAACAACCCACACTAACCAAGTGCTCCATTACCAAAGTAACAGCCCAACCTCTCCCAAGAGGAGCTGTGTAAAAACATTATTCAGACTAGTACAAACACACTGCAGCAACCCAGAACAGCAGAAAAAGGAAACAGACCACCTATACAAC